GAGTTTCCCCGAGTCCTTGGCACCAGCGTCGTGCCTTGAGTTGAAATACATGAGTAATCTTTCGGGTTGCATATTGAAATGACACACGGACGCTTACAGGAAGCAGGCAATTCAAGCGAACGATGATTAGCAGATATTCTTGACTGACCGGTGTGCTCTTGAGAAAGAGTGGCATGCAACGAGGTGTTGACCAAGTGATCTTTAAATCAAAAGACCGTTGACCAAGTAATCTGTAAATCAAAACACCATTCGGGTAATACAGGGTTCAGAAGGTGAGAAGCGTCTCTCTCTGCATTATTGGTAACAATGGAGGTGTGGTCTTCCAAGCAGTTTCTGGATGAATAATTTTACTTTCGATGGTCAATAGAGAAATACCTCTGGGAAGCCCTAGAATAATCTCTCTTAGTGAACTGTGTCCATTTAAAGCCTGCTTTGTTTGTAATGGACAAATAAGGTCTTGGGTTGGATCCAAAGATGCAGTTTCTGCTGGCGTAATGGCCCATACCGCTGAATTCTACTTCCACTGACAGGGGTGATTTTTTGCTGACACCCCCCCCCCCAAAAAAAGAAGGTAGAATCCCACTTTGCTACCAGTGTTGGTTATGAGGATCCTCTCCCCCTGCGGGAGCTTAATTTCAGGGAGCCAAGCTGGGATAGTTCCCTTCTGTGAGCTTCACACCATTCCCAGTACTTTGGATCGACTCATCTGTGTATTTATTAAATTTATTAAATTTATACCCCGCCTTTCTCCCAAATGGGAACCCAGAATGGCTTATGTCGTTCTCTTCTCTGTTTTATCCTCATAACAACCCTGTGAGGTAGATCAGGCTGAGAGTGTGTTACTGGTCCAAGGTCACCCAGCAAGCTTCTGTGGACCTCCAGAGGTACTGGTTGGCTACTGCATGCAACAGGATGTTGGGCTAGATGGATCACTGGTCTGATCCAGCAGGGCTCTTTTTAAGTTCTTGTGTGTGAGACAGGATGCTGGACTAGGTGGACCATTGGTCTGATCCAGCAGGGCTCTTCTAATGTTCTAATGAAGGCCTCGACCTCTATGCCCTGTTGTTGGCCCTCCAGGGGAACTGGTTGGCTACTGTGTGAGACAGGAGAGTGATTCAGACATGGAATTTGCTGCCAGAGGATGTAGTGATGGCCACAGGAATAAACAGCTTTAAAAGGGGATTAGATTCATGGAGGAGAGACCTATCAGTAGCTACTAGCCAAGGTGACTCAGGGGAATCTCCAAATTAAGAGACATTGATCCTCTGAATCCCAGAGCCAGGTGGCAACCTCAGGGAAAGGCCTCGGCCAAGCAGAGGAACAGCTTGGCCCACTGTGTGAGACAGGATGCTGGACTAGATGGACCCCTGGTCTGATCCAGCAGGGCTCTTCTGGTGTTCTTATGAAGGCATCAGCCTCTCTGCCCTGTCGTTGGCCCTCCAGGGGAACTGGTTGGCCACCGTGTGAGACAGGATGCTGGACTAGATGGACCCCTGGTCTGATCCAGCAGGGCTCTTCTGGTGTTCTTATGAAGGCATCAGCCTCTCTGCCCTGTCGTTGGCCCTCCAGGGGAACTGGTTGGCCACCGTGTGAGACAGGATGCTGGACTAGATGGACCACTGGCCTGATCCAGCAGGGCTCTTCTGATGTTCTAATGAAGGCCTCGGCCTCTCTGCCCTGTCGTTGGTCCTCCAGGGGAACTGGTTGGCCACCGTGTGAGACAGGATGCTGGACTAGAGGGACCCCTGGTCTGATCCAGCAGGGCTCTTCTGATGTTCTAATGAAGGCCTCGGCCTCTCTGCTCTGTTGTTGACTCTCCAGAGGAACTGGCTGGCCACTGTGTGAGACAGGATGCTGGACTAGAGGGACCACTGGTCTGATCCAGCAGGGCTCTTCTGATGTTCTAGTGAAGGCCTCGGCCTCTCTGCCCTGTTGTTGGCCCTCCAGGGGAACTGGTTGGCCACTGTGTGAGACAGGATGCTGGACTAGATGGACTATTGGTCTGATCCAGCAGGGCTCTTCTGATGTTCTGATGAAGGCCTCGGCCTCTGTGCCCTGTTGTTGGCCCTCCAGGGGAACTGGTTGGCCACTGTGTGAGACAGGATGCTGGACTCGATGGGCTATTGGTCTGATCCAGCAGGGCCTTTCTGATGTTCTTATAACAGCAGCGATTGAGACTCGCTTTAAGAACACAGAATGCTTCCAAAGCAGCCTTAGCGTGAGCTCACTGGCCAGATATTAAGCCACCCCCTCAGCACAGTATTACCGATCCTTCCTGGTGATATAGGAAGCGTTATATAACAGGGAGCGCACAGTCATGCACCTCGACGCAGTGTTTTAATTTTTCAGGTGAGCTCTGGCGTTGTCATCACGCGCCTCGGTTGCCACTGTGAAACAAGCCACACAGAGATGTTTGTCGGCTTCTGATATCCCTGTGGAAATGTTAGGGCTCTGCGTGGTTCCCGTAACGCCACACGGTCGAAACATCTTTCTCACACATTGGCTGTGTGCTGTGTTCCTTGGCTTCTCGAGAAACGCAGCCCTGGCTGTATCCTGTTCTTTTACGGCTCCTCTTCCCCTCGCCTCTGGTCCTGCCAGTTTCCTGCTCCCGGAGCCCTTTCTTGGTGCTCCCGAGGCTCTCCGCAACTGCCTCGCCAGCTGTGTCATATCCTCTTAGGAGTCATCGAAAGGGCTTAGAGCAAAGGCAAGGAGGAGCATTCGTTTTCTTCAGGCCGCAGCCTCTAATCTATGTAATCTGGCAGCCTGACGAGTCCGCTCGTAGGAAGGAAGCACTTCCCCAAGCGGCGAGGAGCTCCAAGCGTACGGCTCTGTCTAGGGCCAGATTCGCTCAGTTGTGGTTTTGTTTCGCTTTGCGGTTAGAGGCCCCTGTGTATGTCAAGATTGTGCTTTGCCAGGTTTCTGGAGAACTGCAATAAAACACGTTCTCTTTGCTTCCAAGTCAGCGTGGAGAGAGGTTCTGTTTAATGTTCTGAGGCGTGTGCATCCCTAGTTCAGGGGTGGGGGAGAGACGCAGAATCCTAGCCACCCTCTCTTGGGGGTAGTTTGATCATTCAGCAGGTCTATTCATACTGCTTTTAAGCAAACCTTTAGTTGACCTTTAACCTTGTGGCTGTCCCGAATGGTACTGGGGTTATTCAGGAGTTGTTCCGTGGGCAGGTTATAGGAATGGAGGGAAGAAGGAGAAGAGAAGAGATTGGATTTATACCCGCCCTTCACTACCCAAAGGAGTCTCAGAGCGTCTTACAATCTCCTTTCCCTTCCCCTCCCCACAGCACACACCCTGTGAGGTGGGTGGGGCCGAGAGAGCTCTGAGAGAACTGCCCTTGAGAGAACAGCCCTGAGAGAACTTGTGAGTGACCCAAAGTCACACCAGCAGCCGCACGTGGAGGAGTGGGGAAATCAAACCCGGTTCTCCCAGATTAGAGTCTGCCTCCTAACCGCTACACCAAACCGGCTCTCTTGTGTTAGAATGAATATTGCGTTAGAATGAATATTCTTAATTGGTCCCAGAAGCAAAGAAGCCCTTTGACCAGTGGCCTACCTTGGACTCTCCCTTACTGCTGTGCTAGGATCTCTAGCAAGGTAGAGGCCCAGTTGGGAGCATCTTTGGGCCAGCATGCTGGGAATTAACAGGGATTCCACATTCCCTGTAACCTTTTCTGCAGTGGGCATTTCTACTGGAATCTTGAAGTCCCTTGTGAAGTTACTATTGATACTGTAAGTGGGGCAGTCACCTGGATCTGTTTATAAAAGTGGTTGACCAAAGAGTAAATTCTCTTGTGTTTGTGGCAAGGTAACCCTGCTGTGGAAGGGGGTTGAAGAGCAGGAAGCAACCGTTCCATCGCCTCAGTGCAATAGCTTGTTTGGAGGGACATGGCTTCCCCTGGCCTAGGAATTATTCGTGAGAAACAAGGTCTCACTTGATATTCCCAGCTATAAGAGAAACCCTGCTGGGTCAGACCAGTGGTCCATCTAGTCTAGCATCCTGTCTCACAAAGTGGCCAGCCAGTTCTTCTGGAAGGCCAACAACAGAGCGTAGAGGTTGAGGCCTTCATTAGAACATCAGAAGAGCCCTGCTGGATCAGACCAGTGGTCAGTCTAGTCCAGCATCCTGTTTCACACAGTGGCCAACCAGTTCCTCTGGAGGGCCAACAACAGGGCATAGAGGCCGAGGCCTTCATAAGAACACAAGAAGAGCCCTGTTGGATCAGACCAGGGGTCCATCTAGTCCAGCATCCTGTTTCACACAGTGGCCAACCAGTTCTTCTGGAGGGCCAATAACAGGGCAGAGAGGTCAAGGCCTTCCCTTGAGGCTGCTTCCCAGCACTGAGTTTCTGCGTTTTCCTGCCTCTGAATATGGAGATTCTGTTTACTTGCCGTGGCTAGTATCCTCCATAAATTTCTACATGTTGTAATGGGTGCATATCAATGATAGAGCACTGTTTGCAAATCTATGTAACATCTGGAAAGACAGGGGACCAAAAGGCATCAATGGCTTAACCTGGGGTCTCCACCCTGTTTTGAGCCTGCAGGCACCTTTGGAATTCTGACAACGTGTGGTGGGCACAGTGACAAAATGGCTGCTGCAGGCGGCAGAGCCAGCCACAAAATGGCTGCCACATCTTACCTTCAGTCACACAATGAAGATCCTTGTGCTGTGGTGGCAGCTGCTGCCAAAACAAAGTTTTTAAAAAATCTGCACAGCCAATCAAATCTCCAGTGGGCAAAAGCCCCACCCACTTTCTAAAAACACGCAAGGTGTTGGGTGGGCAGCATGTCACTCACGCCCCCCGCATTGGGGACCCCTGGCTCAACCTATCTTGTTTTAAAACAAGCCCGCTGTTCTCTGTAGTATAGCCTTTTGCCGTTCAGATCTCTGAGTTAAGCCGGCTTCAGTTTATTCGTGCGTGCATCCTGTAAAACACTAAAATTGTGAACGGTATGTGATTTCTCTCTCTCTCTCTCTTTTATTTTTAAAGGAAAACGTCAGATCCATCATCTCGGAAACCAGCTCCAGCTTAACCAGCACTGCCTCGACACCGCCTTTAACTTTTTCAAGATGGCGGTGAGCAAGCACTTGACCCGGGGGCGGAAGATGACCCATGTCATCGCCGCATGTCTGTACTTGGTGTGCAGGACTGAAGGAACTCCGCGTATCCTTTCACTCTTTGAACAAGGCCCCTTTTTTAAAAAAAACACAAACGTCTTGGGCACCGTGTCCCTCTGACCGCTTATCTTTCCTGGAACTCTTTGGGTGCTATTTTTAGAACTGAGCCCCGTTTTTGCTGGTTCAATGTTTATCCTAATCTTTTTATTGTCTCTCGTTAAGAAAATACCAGGAAACCTTCTGGACAATGGTTAATGCAAAAAATTTGGGAAAGGAGAGATCTAATCTAGAGTGGAATCTGATCCTCTAACCTGCTTGGGTATCGGTAGGGCGTTGGGAGACAGCTGCCCTTCCCCCATTAGTTCATGTCATGTTTGATTATTTGTCACAAAAACCATCTTGCTAGATCTGTACAATGAATAGTTATTGTTATGAGCAATTACACGGCCCTGTTTCATTAGCTATGCATGCCAAAGGCACAAATCAATCTCTCTGTCTCTCTGCTATGAATGATGGAACCGGGTTGATAGTTATGAAGTGTAAAATGTAACCCCTGCAAATGTTTTTTGAATTGCGAGAGTGTGGGTTGTTTTATCTGGAGCGTGGCCTTTGGGCCCCGTCTTTGAGTCTTGCTGTTGTTCACTGAAATCTTCTTTTCCTTTCACCTGAGTTCAACTTGTATTTTTGGTAGCCTCTAGTCTCCGCCCCTCCTGCCAACCTAGCAGTTCGAAAGCAAGAAATTTCAAGTAGATCATTAGATACCGCTTCGGTGGGAACTAACAGCATTTCATGCGCCTCAGCGTTTAGTCATGCCGGCCACATGACCACGGAAACGTCTTCAGACAGCGCCAGCTCTTCGGCTTGGAGACAGAGATGAGCACCGCCCCCTAGAGTCGGATTTGACTAGCTTTCGAGCAAGGGAAGTGCTTACCTTTACCTTTAGTCTCCACCTGAATCCCATGCTCCTGCCATTACTTTCTTTTGTACCACACACCGTAGAACTCTTTCATGGGCCCTCGCTTGTGCTGAAAGATGGTTGCCGTTATTATTACATCATCCACGTGCAGAGACCTTTCGGCCAGTGTGCAACACACTGGTGGCATGTAGATGTCACAACAAACTTCCATTTGCCTGTGACGGGCACCTGTATCTTGCTGTGTTCATGCCCCCCTTCTTCCCTTTGAGCGCGGAGCATGATGGGCATATTCAATCACGCGCCCGACTCGCTGTCATGTCTTGAGTGCGGATGCCTGAGCCAACTGGAGTTTTATTTCTCCCATGCAAACTAGGATTGTGTACCAGGATTAAGCTGTGATTGAGAATCCTAGTGCGTCAGGAGGACACAAATACTGATTTGGCCATGGCCTTCAAATCTCACGGTCAGAACAGTTTCAAAACTAGGAGCTCCTTCAGTTGCTCTCTGGAGCGAGGGAGAAGGAAAGGGGAACCAAGGAGGGAGCATGTGAGCATGGCACCCACTCGTGTTTGTGCTCGTCACTAGGGTTGCCAAGTCTCACCTTGTTCCGGAGCGGGGGACTCCCGGGTCGATCCCTAACCCTAACGCCCCCAGCGTGCCCGGCGTGGTCGCGTCACTTCCTGGTGACGTGCACGTCGGGGTGGAGTTCCCCCCGGGGCCCGATCCGGCGGCGGCGGGGAACAGGCCTCTGCCCCCCCGGGGGGACTTGGCAAACCTACTCGTCACAGATAGAGATTTGATGTACTATTTGAATGCAGCCATCTGGGCAGATCACAACGTCTTCCAAGGCAGGGAGAATCATCAATAGGGACCTTTTAGGTAGGCCACAAAACTTTACCTGCAGGTTCACAGGCCCCTATAGAGCTACCGGCAATGTTCCCTCTAAGCTGTGGAGTCTTGTGAGCAAAAATTCTACTTTGTGAGCTCCTGGCATTAAAGTTGTGAGCAAGTGATTTGGCTACTGCATAAATTAGTTTACTCTGGAGCCCTCCTTCCTGAGCTAAGACAAAAATGTGTGAGCCGGAGGCTAAAAAACTGTGAGCTAGCTCACACTAACTCAGCTTAGAGGGAACACTGGCTACCGGTTGGTTTTTTTAAAAAATGCCTTTTGAAAGGGCTTGCAGCGAGTGTGCAGGTGCAGAGAACAAGAGTACTGTCCTGTCTTGTTTTGTGTGGACACTGAGAGGAGCAGAAGGCTGTCAAGATGGTGGTCACTCATTGACGGTAAGGATTCTTCTGTCATTCTTTTCCCCATTGTGTTATGCTTAAGGCTTGTGTTTCTTGCCTCTAGCTATTTCGGTCTGAATCCCACAGTCCTAGCCTTGAAACTAGTTAGGTCATAATTCCGGCTCCTCCTCTTCCTGTTGCATGACCCTGTCACATGACTTCCTATCCTATGCCCACCATTCAGCAGTTACTTTGTTCAGTGGAACTCAGGTCTGGAAAAGGTGAATACCGTTGCTCCAAACTGCAATTCAGAGGATTGCGAGTGAGTTTCAAGCTCACACGCTCTCTCGCCTTCCCCCTCACACACAGCTTTGCTTTACAGTTGTAATTTATGCTAAATAACGGCACAGTTTGATTCTGACCTGGTGAACCTGTAGTTAGCCTTTGCCCCCCAAACCAGAGTTGGTAATCACAGTTTGATAATGATTTGTGGTGGTGGCTTTGAAGGCAAACACAAGCCACAGTTGCCAGTTTGGATATCATAGCAAACTACGGTTTGTGCTCAGCCGCAGACTGCAAAGCTGTGTGTGAGGAGGGAGGGGAAAGAAGGGAGTGTGCAAGTTTTTGACTTGTGTTCAGATCGTCTGAACCAGGGGGTCTCATCAGAAGCTTCCCCGAGAAGCTCAGACTTCACGGAGGCAACATATCTGTCTTACCGGAAGCGATGTGTGGAAAATGATGATAAATACCGCCAAAGGATTGGAAGCAAGGGAGTGGCAAAAAAACCCCCCCCCCCAAGCTCAAAACGGGCGGATTTCTGTGACTTTGTATCTGGTATCTGGAGCTGCGGTGGCTCAAGTGGTTAAGACGCTGAACTGCAGGCTGTGGAAGGTCAGTAGTTCAGCAGTTCAAGACCCGGGTGCCGCAAGACGGGGTGAGCTCCTGTCTCTAGTTCCAGCTCCTGCCAACCTAGCAGTTCGAAAGCAAGAAATTGCAAGTAGATAAATAGGTACCACTTCGGTGGGAAGGTAACAGCGTTCCGTTCGCCTTGGTGTTTAGTCATGCCGGCCACATGACCACGGAAACGTCTTTGGACAGCGCTGGCTCTTCGGCTTTGAAACGGAGATGAGCACCGCAACCCTAGAGTCGGATTCGACTGGCTTTCGAGCAAGGGAACCTTTACCTTTTTATCTGGTATCTGGTATTTTCAACGGCCGAATCAATTTCCTTTCGCATCTGAAAGTATGTGGCTCGAATATTCGAAGCATGCCACCCTGCAAGTTTTGCTTAGCTGGTCACTGATAGAAATTTATTTAAAAATAAGGCAATGCCAAGCCAGTGACACGTGGCCAAATGTGCAAATGAGCTGTAGCCACTCCGATTCATGATAATCCTGTTGGGGGACAGGACACTGAGCGAGGAGTCTAGCTGTGCTAGCGGAATCTTACCGGTAATGAGCTGCGGTGATAATGGTTGCAAGCGTTGGCAAAGAGACCTCTAACAGGAAGAGAGTTCAGCGTGTTTAAAGCTTTTGTGTGCAAAATGAGGCGGCTGTTCTCTTGACTGGTTTGGTGAGGGGATAGTGACCAGGGACGTTATGGGGCAATTCTGGTTCTTTTTGGGTTTTTTTTAAAAAATTGTTTCATCATTATAAATAGCTTCAGCTTTCCCCTTGCAGTTACCTTGACATCCAAGCCCCCAGGAAACAGTGGTATGTGTAAGAGGCCATCTGGCTCTGCGATCTGTGTGGGTCTGTTACATAAGCTCCGACAGTGACTGGAGTGGAGAAGTAATTTTGCTTGAATCGAGAATCCGGCTGCATTAGAGCGGTTTTGTTTCGGTAGCGGTTCGCTTAAAATTCCCCACCTGCCCCTTGCCGGCTTCTTACGTGCCCTCGTTTTTGTAAACAGGAAAATGCCAATCACCACTTTGGAGTCAGGAAGGACACTTTTCCAGGCCGGTTTGGCCAGGGATCCTGGGTTTTTTTTTGTCATCTTCTGGGCATGGAGTGGGGGTCACTGGGTGTGTGTGTGTGTGTGGGGGAGGTATTTGTGAATTTCCTGCATTGTGCAGGGGGGTTGGACTAGATGACCTGAGAGGTGCCTTCCAGCTCTATGATTTGACCAGAAAAATCTCAAGGGTAAAACTGTAGTTTTAAAAAATTCCTTTCTTCCCTAAATATTTAAGGCATGATCTGTCTGTTCCTGAGTTATCTCCTGCACGTCAAGGAAGCACAATTACAAAGGGATCCCCCTCCTCTGCTGGGTGCATGTTTTGCTAAGCACATTGTTGGGTATTCTGCCTTTACTGGATCAGTGGTCCCTGAGTTATCTCCTGCACGCCAAGGAAGCACAATTACAAAGGGGATCCCCCTCCTCTGCTGGGTGCATGTATTGCTAAGCACATTGCTGGGTATTCTGCCTTTACTGGATCAGTGGTGCTCTGTGTTCTTGGTGCTTAGGGGGCAACAGTGGGAGGGCTTCTGGAGTTCTGGCTCCACTGGTGGATCTCCTCATGGCACCTGGGCTTTGCCTACTGTGTGACACAGAGTGTTGGACTGGAGGGGCTTGACCGAGCATGGCTTCTCTTATGTTCTTATGTCTGAGGCAGTGATGCTCTGTATTCTTGGTGCTTGGGGGACAACAGTGGCAGGAATTCCAGAGTTTTTGCCCTGCTGGTGGACGTCCTGATGGCACGTGGGCCTTGCCCACTGTGTGACACAGAGTGTTGGACCTGGAGTTCTGTCCCCACTGGTGGATCTCCTCACGGCACACGGGCTTTGCCTACTGTGTGACATAGAGTGTTGGACTGGAGGGGCCATTGGCCTGACCCAGCACGTCTTCTGTTATGTTCTTGTGTCTGGGGCCGCGATGCTCTGTATTCTTGGTGCTTGGGGGGCACCA